AATTAGAGATAGATTTGCGTTCAGAAATAAAATGCTCTTCCTATGATAACGTCACCGATGCCATATATCAAACGTATTTGAATATGAAGGCACAGTGAACGTCACATAACATGAGACAGTTTGCTTGCGCAAGCAGCTGGAGTTGACTACCTCAGCGAGCACCCAAATCCAGTCTTAATGCGCCATTTAACCACTGTAGCTGTACAGGCTGAAAGACTGGAAAGCCAGCCGGGAAACCAGTGTTATTGGATCAAAGATCAAACTATTGGTCTAAGCCAAGTTCTTTATCCATAGACCAATTGCGAAAGATCAATGGCTAATATGTGCGTGAGATTGAATCTAATTTATGAAAAATTCGCACTGTAATATTTCTGCATTTGCATTGAACTGCCTGCGCAACGTGGTTTTCAAGCAACTCTAAAGTCGTATCAAAAACTAGCAATCGCTATGACTCAAAAACTATCAAATAGAAGCTTCTATGCCATTTTATCAGCTTTTAACAACGAAACATATGCGAAACAGTACAGCGAACATCGGTAAACTTAATGATAAGAGCTCTTCTAACTTCTGATTAAACGTTGTTTGCATATCAGCTAAGTACGCGACATGATAAGAAACTCTTAAGCTTAATATAGCAGAAAAGCGCCTAGACGTTAAGCACTAAGCTTTGGCGACGTCGGCAGTGATGGTTGTGGAGGTCGTTTCTACCGAGAACAGGGAAACCGCCCTGAACATTCTGATGAAACAGAACGATCCATACTCTTTGGTCGTTCGCGGAATGATACAGAATGTGCTGAATGGAACGATCAGCGAAGGACAGGTGTTTTCTGACTCTTGGCCAAACTTCCGAAACATCGTATGTCTACACGATAGCCGGGAGTACAGTAATTTCGACACTGATTTTGTGACATGGCACAGCACAACGGTGGACGACTTCGCTTTGTTCTTCCCGGAAATGGTGGCCGTCAGACGCTGGAAACAGCGAGGCTTCATCATGCACTACGTAAGATCAGATTTTGCTGATATCATCCTTGCTGTCATGAGATTATCACCGTCAGAACTGCAAGTGAATACGTTCCAGCTCTGCGTTGCTGGTAAGGAGCATGAAGAAAAAATGGCGAAGTTGCAACGAAAAAGGGCTGAGGCTATTCAACAACTGCCTCCCGGGTTTAAAGTTGACAAGCTGTACGCCTACGATGCCGAATACGTGTCGCAGATGCAGTCTCGCAAGATGCCTGACAAAGTGAATTATTACCGATGGTTATTGAAGAAGTTTCCTACTCAATGTGTCCGCAATGAACAAGGTCAACCCATTGCATTCTCGTTAACATACGACAGTGGCGCCGCTGGCGGTCTTTATGTAGACCCTGAATATCGACGTCGTGGCCTTTCTCTCCTAGTGGAAGTATCTCCGGACAAAACCCAAATGCCGGTGCCCTTTGGCGCCGTTGCTTTCAACAATCAGCGCTCAAAGAACCTGCAGATCAAATATTTCGGTATCCAAATTTTGGAACAAACCGTTTCTTGGATCATTTATTGCCCATATAAAGAAATGGAGGAAATCAACGCTCCTAAATCTAAAATCTAGATCTATGTACTACTTCTTTAGAAACATTTCAATGCCAGTTCTGCTAATATTTTTGCTATGTGTACTCATTGTGACCAAACAGTTATTTTAGGCTTTCAGTTTCGAATATACGACCGATTTCGAGTTTTCAATTAATTGATAAAGCAGAAATTAAATTTCCAAAGCATTGTATTTATGACTATACTGTCATAAAGTTCATGCATCCTTATTGTGTACTGTATAGTGGTTTATCGGCTTAATAGGCTATCAGATATTTATTAAACAGCTGACGGCACATTCTTTTTCAGCACTCTCGTGAAATAAATGTTATGGAAACAATGGTTTCAGTTCGACAAGAACCACTTTGTATTAGAAAGACAACAATTTTTCGAAGCTTCATTATAGCTGACTTGTTTAACCAGCTCCAATAATGCCTGATCGCTGCACTTTCCGCCTCGCGGTCGAAGGCGAATTTCGCCATCAAAGATAGCCATTCTGTTATCCACCATTGTAATGCATAAACTGTTCCTCATCGGATCATTTGTAGGTCAAATGCCACTATTTCCATCCAAGTCCTCATTAGGTCACCGCTCCTTTGACTCTACCCAAGGCAGGTACGGGCATAATGTTTAGATGCAATTTTTGCTGGGTCCAAGTCAACGCACCTGGAGCTTTTGAATAGCAGTCTTGACTTTTGGCAGCATTGCAATGGCTTGAACCCTGAAGTTAACATTTATCGAGGGGACCTCTGCAATTGAATATGTAAGAAACGATGAGGTAGAGGTGTCAGATATTTACGAAGAATTCGATGGATATTTTGGCGAAGAACTGGCACAGTGAGTGACAAGACAAAGCAAAGAGTGGAATGATGATAAACAAACCAAAGGCTACATGCACTGGACGAAGACAGTGACTTCTAGGTTCTTGATAGGTGTTCCTATCATTAATTAGAGGACGGGAACCGATTGTCACGACAGAAACTACATCAGAAATCACCGCATTGCTCATTTGGTATAGCTTATGACTCAAAACCGAGGTGCTCAAGACTCGAGCCCAACTCGGGTCATTCGCTTACCTTTCTTCCGAGGTTGATAAATGAGTACAAGTCTATTAGAAGGAAACATAACACTGCACACTGTGTTTGTCACAGAGATGTTGTCAGCTCTGCCTTTAAAGCAATGCATTGCTGGCTGATGGCACGGAAACGGAGATCAGCATCCCATCATTATTTTTATGAAAAGAAGAGCTTCAGAAATGAATCCACCATGAAGCTGTTAACAAGGCAAACGATTTAATGGCTATAAAGTATTTTCATTTCTTTAAATGGGAAGAAAATATTCAGATAGAGCCCAACATTGGTCTAAGTCCTTTAACATCTGATTTTAACAAATATTTTGACTGATGATAAAATAATCATTGATATACCTTTTGTTCGGGAGTGCTTTTGATTATCATTCTCATGACAACACATCAGATCTAAATGTCGCCGTGTATTAAACCTGATTTAAACTTTAAGCATTTTTTCATAAGCGTAGATCTATGCTAAACTATATAGACTAAACGAAACTAATTTAATCTATACTGGAAATGGTAAGCTGCTAGCATACGATTTTTAAAGGACACAACAATAAAAACTGTGCGACGACTACCATTACGAAAACTATATCACTGTCTCAGCGAACCCAAAAGGTCAAAGTACCAAATATTTGATGAAACAACGAAAGCTGATAAGCAATTTCATAGCAACCATCAGTAGGTCGGTCGATGAGTCAGTCAGACAAGCTGCCACTCAGGCAGTCAGTCAGTGTCGATCATCGCATGTCTTTTCAGATCTTGAAGCTGATGTGCCAGACAGTGCATGAGCTGAACAACGTTCCGGATTCTTAGCGATCGTTTGAGCTGCGACAAGAGATAATCTGAATCTGAAAGAGAGTGCTCCGAGGTACCTAGTTTATTCTTGATCGTCATCGCGGTTTTCATTCGATAGGTTGACCAGTTAGCAGATGTTTCACCTTGCCTTACTGAGGCATTCGCATTATTTGCTAAAACCATTGCAACCGTTGCTTCTCAGTTTGGAGAAGGAGTGGTTGCACACCAATCGACTGTCGCATAACTGAACTCCGGGCCACGTGGAGACGCGTGAGACCCGCGATTCAACTCAAAAAGCATTTCAAGTAGATTTATCCAAGATCATAGTTGTTCAGCCATAGTCCAGAATTCAAAACCATAGCTGTGCATGGGGGATGAATATTAGTCTTCAGAATCGGCTCTGATTGAGTCACAACGATAAGGATTTGGATTGGTACAAGCAGTATGCTGCTAGCCGTTCTAACTCGCTTGCCGATTTTTTCCTCCCATTTTCTATCACCTGTAAATCAGACCCTATTGTTTACGAATTTCTCCACCAGCTCCATCGTTTCTCCTTTTATCGACAAAGTACAATGGGCAGGAGAACGAGAAAGCGCCACCCATGTCGATTCCCTCACGCTAATCTGCGAACCTTTCAAAGGGGGCTGCAGGTCAGCTTCGGAAATAACTTTTACCAGCATAAATGACATGTCTGAAAACAGCAACCTTCTCGTCTCCACATCTCCTACACCGATATACTCATCGCCAAAAACAAGAAAGGGGCAGGACGCAGCCTTTGCAGAGACCAGTGCCAATGCTGAAGGCTATCTCCAAGACCATAGAAAAAATGTATGCCGGATGACCGAACTCTGACGATTTTGTAACAATCTAGCGTAACGCCGAAGATCATACCAGAAGTGTTCAACAAACTAACCTATAGCCACACTGCTCCTCGTGAATCTTAGAGTCACCTATTCTGCAGCACCTCAGTCTCAACACCCCTGCATAAACTTTTCCTGGGAGGCTCAATAAACTAATGTCTCGATTTTACGCAAATGCTAAAAAGGAACTGCCGTGGAATAACAGGCTCCAGGGCACAAGAAAAGCAGTGTGGCCTCCGACCCGGTCGTAGCACCACATATTTACCCTACGATACGTTGTTGAGAAATCGTATGAGTACGCCCGTCCGGTGTACATGTGTTTCGTTGACCTAGAAAACGTCGATGACCGGATCCCACGCAACAGTCTCTGGTCATGGCTTCGAGCATGCCGAATCGATGGCCAGTTGCTACTGGATATCCAATCACTGTATCCTGAGAGCGGGTGCTGCGTCAGAGTTAATGGCGTTAAGTTGAAACC